TAGTGTCCCATCATTGGTGTCAGTTTGAGGAATAGTGTCCCATCATTGGTGTCAGTGGGAGGAATAGTGTCCCATCATTGGTGTCAGTGGGAGGAATAGTGCCCCATCATTGGTATCAGTGGGAGGAATAGTGCCCCATCATTGGTATCAGTGGAGGAATAGTGCCCCATCATTGGTGTCAGTGAGATGAATAGTTCATCATTGTTGGTGTCAGTGGAAGAATTGGTGGCCCAAAGGCTGGACAAATGTAAGGCAGTTTGCGGTCCCCAGGGGCCCCCTGGTCTAAGTGGTACATAGAAATGCTTGCTGTCATGTAGGCAGGCCTGAAGCCTAGGCATAACATAAACCTGTCTCTGGGACAGGAAATGATGGGAAATCTTCTCATGGGGACACAGGCAAAAAAGGAAGTCGGTAGATCTTCTAATCTTTCCATTTTAAGCACAGAAAGTTTTTTTGGTAGTATAGGACCACCTAGAGTTTGGGAAACACAGCTCTATCATTTTCCGAGAATAGTTTAGCCGGCACTGGATTGGCAGAGTAGCCGGCTCTCGTCCAGCACAGCGTCTTATGCTGGTTCCTGTTTGTCGTCGCCTTTGAAGCTGATACTTTTCACCAGCTCAGTAATTAGCTCTTGCAGGACTTTTGATCTTTGCTTCCCCACTTCCAGCACGCTTGTGTGATCCACCGACTCCACCATCTCATAGGCCTGGGCCACGCGGTTCGTGATCAAAGAGAGGCCAAACACTCGCATCCCACAATGCTTTGCAACCACCACCTCGGGGGCTGTGCTCATACCTGCAAACAAAAGGTAATTTTAGCTAAAAGCTCATGATTGCAAGTCCGTTGCTTAAAGAAGACCTTTGTGGGGGTTCCTTTCTTGTCATACAAAATGTTTAGCTGTTAAGGTGTGGATCTGAGACTGGATGTAGTTTTGCAAAAAAAAAAAAAAAGGAAAAAGGCAGGGCTGACACCACTCAGTCCACACAAAACCTGCGTGTTGTCAGCCCTCAGCAGGAAATTATATGCTGAATTCATTTCTGGAACATCAAAATTATTTCTCTGTACTTGCAGGATCTTGTGTGTGTATTGCAGAGTATACTGTATATGTTTTTATTTATTTTTTTCTCCCTGACATACATGTTTAAAATCTCCTATCATTTCCTGGAATACAGTCTATTTAAGTTGCAACCTTGATCCTTCTATGCTGGATGTTCCTCTTTCAAAATATAAAGGGGTCATTGACCATTACAGTACACAGTGTTTGAAAAGTTCAGCCTTGAAAAGCATCAGTCTGAGCAAAATTAACATAGATGTGTCAAAACAGGCTGCTATAGACAGAAGACCGAACTCACAGATACCGTCGTCTTTGGATTCTGTGATTGGACAGCCCGGAACTCCTTGTCCCACGATTATGGTTTCTCCTGAAATACGTTCGTGCCAGGAGCATCGGCCTTATGTTTTTCTTGTTTGGCTCCATAGACTAAACAGGAGCAATCGACTGAGCTGAGCATTTGTGTTTGGAGGTAGGCCAGAAAATACGGGTGCGTGAGGGGTGGATAGGCCATGCCTGCAGTCCAAGCACCCTCTTGTGTGTATGGGTACTTTTTCAAGGCAGTTTAACACATACTGACTGTTCTCTTTATACAGTGAAGGAAATAAGTATTTGCTCCCCGGCTGATGTTGAATGTTCGCCCCTCACAAAGAAATGATTGGTCTACAAATCGAATGTTCGGTGTATTGTAACACTGAGAGACCGAATAGCAACAACAAATTCAGCAGAAATGCGTCTAACAAATGCTGACTGATCTGCATGTTCATGAGGGAAATAAGGATTTGATCCCCTTCACAAAACATGACTTAGTACTTGGTGGCAAATCTCTTGTTGGCAGTCACAGAGGTCAGATGTTTCCTGGAGTTGGCCCCCAGGTTTGCACACATCTCAGGAGGGATTTTGGCCCACTCACCTCTTGGCAGATCCTCTCCAAGTCATTAGGGTTTGGTGGCTGACATTTGGCAACTCGAACTTTCAGCTCCCTCCACAGATTTTTCAATCAGATTAAGGTCTGGAGACCAGGACCTTAATGTGCTTCTTCTTGAGCCACTCTTTGTTGCCTTGGCCGTGTGTTTTGGGTCATTGCCATGCTGGAACACCCACAACCCATTTTCAGTTCCCTGGCTGAGGGAAGAAGGTTCTCACCCAAGATTTGATGGTACATTGCCCCATCCATCGTCTCTTTGATGTGGTGCAGTTGTCCTGTCCCCTTAGCAGAAAAAACACCCCCAAAGCAGAATGTTTCCACCACCATGTTTCACAGTTGGGATGGTGTTCTTGAGGTCATAGGCAGCATTCCTCCTCCTCCAAACACAGTGAGTTGAGTTGATGCCAAAGAGCTCGATTTTGGTCTCATCTGACCACAACACTTTCCACCAGTCCTCCTCTGCATCATTCAGATGTTCAGTGGCAAACTTCAGACGGGCCTGGACATGTGCTTTCTTGAGCAGAGGGACCTGCGGGCACTGCAGGATTTCAGTCCTTGTCGGCGTAGTGTGTTACCAGTTGTTTTCTTGGTGACTGTGGTCCCAGCTGCCTGGAGATCATTGACAAGATCCTCACGTGTAGTTCTGGGATGATTCCTCACTGTTCTCATGATCATTGACACTCCACAAGGTGAGATCTTGCATGGTGCACCAGACCTAGGGAGACTGACACTTGTTTTGTATTTCTTCCATTTGTTAATGATTGCACCAACTGTTGTCACCTTCTCACCAAGCTGCTTGGCCTTAGTTTGGTAGCCCAGTCCAGCTTTGTGTAGGTCTACAATCTTGTCCCTGACATCCTTGGACAGCTCTTTGGTCTTTGCCATGGTGGAGAGTTTGGAATCTGATGGTTTAATTGCTCCTGTGGACAGGTGTCTTTTATACAGGTAACACAATGAGATTAGCAGCTCTCCCTTTAAGAGACTGCTTCTAATCTCAGCTTGTTACCTGTATGAAAGACACCTGGGAGCCAGAAATCCTGCTGAATGATGGGGGATCAAATCCTTATTTCCCTCATGAACATGCAGATCAGTCATCATTTGTTAGACGCATTTCTGCTGAATTTGTTGTTGTATTCTGTCTCTGTGTTACAATACACCGAACATTCGATTTTTTAGGCCGATCATTTCTTGTGAGGGGCAAACATTCAACATCAGCCGGGGAGCAAATACGCATTTCCTTCACTGTAGATTTTCATATATAGTTTGGATTTTTCTAGCATTCCTGAGCCTACATGTGATGCATAGAAGATCGCTGCACCTTGTGCGTTTCTTGAGCACGCAGTACAGTCGGCGAGCTGTAAGTATTGTGAATGCAATAGGGTACTGTACAATTTATCTCAGAATACCTCGGGAAGTCCCTGAACCCCAGCATGCAAATATGTACTTTGCTGTAAGTTGACTCTCAGGAATTTCCCACGTCTCGCCATGCAGGCATTTCCATAGGATGCTAACACATCCACGGTTAGGCTTGGTTCACACTGCAGCCCCTTTGTTGTGCGATTTCCAGTGCGACTTTCCTGCGACTTGAGGAGTCTATGGGACTCAAACCGCATGAAAGTCGCATCAAAGTAGTGCAGGAATCTTTTTAACCACCTCCCTTCCAGCCGTTGTATATAAACGGCCGGACGGTGGCAGTGCAGGGTTGGATGGCCGTTTATAAACGGCCTCCCCACCCCCTGCTTGTGCGCACTCACCGATCATCATACGGGACCTCTGTGTGAGGTCCCGATCGTGTGATCACTGATTGGCCAATCAGTGATCACATGCAGAGTAGTAAGCAAGATGTCACTTCTGACATCATTGCTTGCTACGTGTGAAATCTGTGAATGATCACAGAGGTCACATGGTACAAGGCCATTCACAACAACCATGTGACAAGCTGTGACCAATCACGGCTCACACAGTATTTCTCAATGGCTGCAAGAATGCAGCCAGAGAGAAGGAGAACTTATTGCGTTTACATCCTTTATGGGTGTAAAAGCAATCAGTGTAAAAAAAAAAAAAAAAAAAAAAAATTCATCACCCCCCACAAGTAGTCACTATGGTGACACTGTACTGCTAGGGTGACAGTATGAAAAAAAAAAAAATAATAATATAAAAAATGAAAATAATAATGTAAGAAAATGTTTGTTTGTTTGTTTTTGGTTATAAACGAATTTGGGTTATTTTTTTTTTTTTTACTAAAAAGATAACAGAATAAATTTTGTCCAAGATTTATGATGAAATATTATTTATTTGCAAAATGTTATAAGAAAAACAATTTTTTTCAAAATTTTTGTACATTTTCATTTACATAGCAAAAAAAATAAAAAATCCCAGCGGTGAATAAATACCACCAAAATAAAGCTCTATCTGTCTCAAAAAAATGCTAAAAAATTAATATGGGTACAGTGTTGCATGACCGCACAATTGTCATTCAAAGTGTGATAGTGCTGAAAGCTGAAAATTGGCCTGGACAGGAAGTGGGTGAAAGTGTCCGGACTGGAAGTGGGTGAAAGTGTCCGGACTGGAAGTGGGTGAAAGTGTCCGGACTGGAAGTGGGTGAAAGTGTCCGGACTGGAAGTGGTTAAAGTTGCTGCGACTTGAGTCACGTTGATTAGAACCTCCGCCATTGAAATAAGTTTTTCAATCGTCAAACGACTTTATTTGTCGCAAGTCACTGCAGGGCGAACAGAGAGAAGGAGGCAGGTCTAATCAGGACTAACATGAAGTCCACATGACATTTGCTTCCAGTTTGAAGACATCTGGGACATGCTCTTGCTATAGGGGCAGACGGTGAGGCAGCCATCTTTGGCACGGTCAGTAGAATATCATACTAGGGCCCATTTTGGATAGGAGCCAATTTTACCTAGTGGCATGTTTTGAAGTGTGGGAGGAAACTGGAATATTCAGAGAAAACCCGCAGGTGAGACAGAAGTTTATCAGGACAGAATCACTCAATGTCTGCTGTAATTCAAACTCACCCACAGCATCAGCACCCAGCCGCTGCAAGAACCTGGCTTCTGCGACAGACTCAAAGTTTGGTCCCCCTACCATGCAATACACCCCTTCATGGGTGAACTCCGCATGGCCGAGCCGGTGAGAAATTTCCAAAGCTGTAGAGCGCAGGCCCTGATCGTACGTGTCCCAGAGGGAGGGAAAGCGAGGACCGAACCTGCAACATGAAAAGGAATATTAGAGTGGCCATGTTGCAGATTTGTGCACTACTAACATTCAAAGCTAAATTTCCTTTATATTATTAAATGCAGAACATCCAGGCTACAGGCGTGTTTGGTGAGAACGCTGCAGAACATCCAGGCTACAGGCATGTTTGGTAAGAACGCTGCAGAACATCCAGGCTACAGGCATGTTTAGTAAGAACGCTGCAGAACATCCAGGCTACAGGCATGTTTGGTAAGAACGCTGCAGAACATCCAGGCTACAGGCATGTTTAGTAAGAACGCTGCAGAACATCCAGGCTACAGGCGTGTTTAGTAAGAACGCTGCAGAACATCCAAGCTACAGGCATGTTTAGTAAGAACGCTGCAGAACATCCAAGCTACAGGCATGTTTAGTAAGAACGCTGCAGAACATCCAGGCTACAGGCATGTTTGGTAAGAACGCTGCAGAACATCCAGGCTACAGGCATGTTTGGTAAGAACGCTGCAGAACATCCAGGCTACAGGCGTGTTTGGTAAGAACGCTGCAGAACATCCAGGCTACAGGCGTGTTTGGTAAGAACGTTGCAGAACATCCAGGCTACAGGCATGTTTGGTAAGAACGCTGCAGAACATCCAGGCTACAGGCGTGTTTGGTAAGAACGCTGCAGAACATCCAGGCTACAGGCGTGTTTGGTAAGAACGCTGCAGAACATCCAGGCTACAGGCGTGTTTGGTAAGAACGCTGCAGAACATCCAGGCTACAGGCGTGTTTGGTAAGAACGCTGCAGAACATCCAGGCTACAGGCGTGTTTGGTAAGAACGCTGCAGAACATCCAGGCTACAGGCGTGTTTGGTAAGAACGCTGCAGAACATCCAGGCTACAGGCATGTTTGGTAAGAACGCTGCAGAACATCCAAGCTACAGGCATGTTTGGTAAGAACGCTGCAGAACATCCAGGCTACAGGCATGTTTAGTAAGAACGCTGATATCAAAAAACTCGCCTTAAAGTTGCTGTAAAACCACACATATACCCAGTGAAGTGACTGGCCTCAGGCGATACACAGAGATGAAACAAATCCTCTTACATAAGTTGTACCTGTTTGTCTTCTCTTTTCTACATCCTTTCAAAGTTCTGAATTTATAAAACTTGTGAGTTCAGAAAAAAGGGAGAGGAAAGCTGAAATTTCTCTCTGCAGAGCTCAGTGAGGAGAGCTTTGAGAGCTGATTGGACGGAAGAGACACACCCGCTTACACACAGCTCAAGGGAATAGAGCTGAGGCTGTCAGACTGCTGGAGGTCCCTCCCTTGTCACCATTTTTCTCTTGGTGTCAGGAAAACTTGTCAGAACTGATTCATGATGATAGCAGAGGAATGAGGCAGCAGACAGAAATGACACTTAGTGCTCTGGACTGAGGCAAGAACACGCTATAGAGGGATATGCTTTGTTCATATTTCATGTCTGAGGTTTACAACCACTTTAAAAGAATGCCCCACTACATGTTTCCCCCTTCCATCCCTAAACACTTTCCATTCTTTCTTCCTAGCTTCACAAGGGACAGAGGCAACAGAGGGAGCCATAGGCTCCTGCTGACTTGAGCTGGAGCGGGGGCGTGACCCACCCGCTCTGTGTGTATCTATGGATGCACTCAGCCTGACTCTGAAGTGTGCCGGCATCGGTGCACCTCAGCATACAGTTTGCTGAGGGGGCACCAAGAGGAAGAAGGAGTAGACAGCACTGGCGGGGGACTCCAGAAGGGGAGGTAAGGGACCATTTTGTGAAATGCCATTGCACAGAGCAGGTGAGTATAGCATTTTTTTTTATTTTAAATTAAAAAAAAAAAAATATATTTATATAATCTTTTACAATCACTTTAAAATTATATATTTATATAATCTTTTACAATCACTTTAAAGCTAAAATGTATTCTGTTGCTTTTGCCTTCTCTGCCCCCCTATCAACATGCTAATGACTTGCATACCTATCTTCTCTATGCAATGCAGGAAGATCGTGGCTGGTGGGAGGGGCAGACAGGGTGCTGTACATAGTTTCCTGAAAACATCACAGCACCCTGCCTCAGTACCCTCAGCCCCAATGAGCTTTCTCTTGGGAGGTGTTATGCAAATTTCAAATGCCTTGATGGGTGGATGTCAGTGTGGAGCAGTGATCATTCCTAGGCAGTGGCGTCCCGAGGCAGGTGCGGGGGGTGCGCACCACACCGGGTGACACCTACCGCACGGGGTGAGATCGGACCCGCTCCACGAAAAGGTAAGTTGTAAAGAAAGGCGATGATCCCCGCAGGATTGATCAGATCTGTGGATTGGGGAGCATAATGGATCGGACTCTGATCCATTATGCTCAATCAGCAGATCCGATCCATTCTGCGGGGATCGTCGAGGGGGTGTCACCAAGTGTTACCGCACTGGGTGACACCAACCCTAGGGACGCCACTGTTCCTAGGCAAGCATGCAGACCACCCTAGGTAACGCTCACACGTGATGCTGAGTATCCATGGTTGAAAGAATTGGCATCCAGTGAATGGGGTGCAGGGTAGGGCCAGTCAGGCTGTGGAGGAAATGGTTAGCTATTTCCAAATATTGTTCTGCAGAGCAACAAAGCATTCTAAATTTGTTACAGCATTTATAAATGACTACAGCACATGCAAATTATCACCACTGCCCAATGCATTTATAATGGAAACAGTTCTAACAGCCCTTTTCTGCAGAGTATTCCTCCCCTCTCACCTCTCGTCGTTTGGCCCTCTCAGGGGGTTTAAGGCAGCCAATCCCGGCATATTGATGTGATCTCGGATGATCATGAGGTCCCCTGGGCTGTACGTCTCACATAGTGACCCCCGCAGCGTTTGTCACCAGCAGGGCCTTGACCCCCAGAAGCTTAAACACTCGGATAGGGAGAGTGACCTGGAAAGACAATGTCAGAATGACAGCGACCGATGGGGTAAAGGTGTGCCGTACAAGGCAGTGCGCTCTATAGAAAACACAGATAAGAGTGAGCCTGGAGTTCATGAACTGGAGGGAGCCATGAATCCCATACAAGAGTCCCATACACTATGCAAGACCAGAGACGCCTCACTGCCCAGTACTGTTTCTTCATAAAAGATGGAGTTTCAGTATATGGTATTCGAGATCTGATACTAAGCAAAATAACATACTGTATTAGTGATGCACCGATATATCGTCTGCCAAAAATTATAGGCTGAAAATAGGGTTGTTGGCATTTTGCTGATAGAAAAAAAAGGTGCCAATAATGATAAATAGCTTGAACGCAAAATCGCAGCCCATTGACTTCAATGCAAAGTGCCCCCTATGGGCAGCACAGTGGCTAAATGGTTAGCACTTCCGCCCTGGCAGTACTAGTGTCGTTGGTTCGAATCCCAGCCATGGCACGTCCTGCCTGGAGTTTGCATGTTCTCCCTGTGCCTGCGTGGGTTTTCTCCGGGTACTCTGGTTTCCTCCCACACTCCAAAGACATGCTGGTAGGTTAATTGGATCCTGTCTAAATTGGCCCTTGTATATGAATGTGAGTTAGGGACCTTAGATTGTACGCACCTTGAGGGTTAGGGACTGATGTGAATGTACAATATATATGTGAAGCGCTGCGTAAAATTGACAGCGCTATATAAGTACCTGAAATAAATATTGCCTTTAATGCAAAACTGCGTCCCATTGACTTGAGTGCAAAAAAAAAAACACACCCCTATTGACTTCAATGCAAAATCGCGACCCATTGAATTCAATGCAAAATCGCATCCCGTTGCCTTCAATGCATAATCGCGTCCCATTGTCTTTAATACAAGAACGCATCCCATTGACTTCAATGCAAAAACACTTCTATTTAAGTTTTTACATTTTTTTTATATATATGGTTCATTTTATTTTCTGCCCAATTTTTGTGTGTTACTTTCAATAAACGTTATTTTATGTTCCTGGATTGTATTTGTTAAATTCATATTCATTCATGATTATTAAAAAGATGAGTGTAATACAATTATATTCAAAAAAATATTTTTTTAAAAAAAACTCCATTTTGGTTTCAGCCAAGTGCATCCTGAATTTTAGGTTTTGGTCCAGAATTTTCATTTCAGTGCACCACTATATGTATGTTCATGTATATAGAACAAGTATTCATGAGAGTTAAGCCAAGCAAAAGTCCATACATACAGAATAAGAACAGATACAAGATACCCGACATCCAGAAAGATGGGTTAAACAAGCCAACATACAGAATAAGAACAGATACTGAGAATTATATCCCGACATCCAGGACAGGAGAAGTGGGACTGTGCAGAGTCCATACATACAGAATAAGAACAGATACTGAGAATTATACCCGACATCAGGACAGGAGAAGTGGGACTGTGCAGAGTCCATACATACAGAATAAGAACAGATACTGAGAATTATACCCGACATCCAGGACAGGAGAAGTGGGACTGTGCAGAGTCCATACATACATACAGAATAAGGACAGATACCGAGAATTATACAGGACATGGGACTGTGAAGAGTCCATACATACAGAATAAGGACAGATACCGAGAATTATACCCGGCATACAGGACAGGAGAAGTGGGACTGTGCAGAGTCCATACATACAGAATAAGAAACAGATACCCAGAATTACACCCAGCATACAGGACAGGAGAAGTGGGACTGTGCAGAGTCCATACATACAGAATAATGACAGATACCGAGAATTACACCCAGCATCCAGGACAGGAGAAGTGGGACTGTGCAGAGTCCATATATACAGAAGAAGGACAGATACCTGAGAATTACACCAGCATCCAGGACAGGAGAAGTGGGACTGTGCAGAGTCCATAAGATACAGAATAAGAGTACATACATACAGAGATAATTACCCCGATCCAGACAGGAGAAGTGGGACTGTGCAGAGTCCATACCAGAATAAGGACAGATACCGAGAATGACACCCGGCATACAGGACAGGAGAAGTGGGACTGTGTAGAGTCCATACATACAGAATAAGGACAGATACCGAGAATTACATCCACGGGGGCAGAGGCTCTATGATGGTACACTGCTTTCTAGGCACTGACGATTAGGAAGGACGTTGGACCTTTTTGGCAGTGTAGTGGTACTGAAATCAGAAGCACGTTGTAGATGGCACAGCACAAGGGATGTAATTCTCAGATAGAAGTTAGGGGGTTGATCATCCCCCTGTCACATGTGTACATCCCAAAGCCTTACTTTCCAAAGTGGATATCCTTCATAGACGTGGAAGCGGCCTTTCATAACAACGCATGACTTGCCTTGAAGGATGCCAAACACCAGCTGCCCCGAGTGCCCAACCACTGGAAAGACAGAGAATACAGAATAATGAGAGGTCTTAGGAAAAGAGAGGTAGTGAACATGTCAGCTGAAGAATTGGAGGAAGCCGCCATTGTTTTTGGGGAATACGAAGAGAATGGCTATTTTTTTTGTGAATCCTTGGAAGCAGCCATTGTGTGTAGCAAATTAATGAAAGCTGACTTTTTTTAATGGAATATTTTAAAAAACAGCAATTTGTGTGGAGAATTTGTGCCAAGGAGCTATTCTGTGTGGAGAGTTTCAGAAAGTGGCCGTATTCTAGAAGCTGGTACGTACCTGTGCTTGTAGGGAAATGTGGGATTTGGCCATAGTCGAAGGTCTTCACATCAGTCAGCGTATCAGCAAGAAGCCCCAGACCAGAGCCGCAGATGATGGCGATCACGGGAGGGGACTGTACACGGTCCAAGAGCCAACGAGCTGTCTCCTCACAGTCCTCGTACCTGTTAATAGAATCGACTGTGAGTGGAAGAGTTTTTTCACACAGGTTTTGGGGGTTTTAAGATGCATATATTTTCAACCAGCAGTTCAAAGGAATCCAGTGCTTTGTAACAACAACAGGTTATGATGTAGCAGTGCAAGTGGTCGATTCTGGGGTGAAAGGGAGAGGTTTAGGGAGGGTGGGCAAAGGGATTTGTATCAGGGGGGGGGAGTAAGGTCAAGATGAAACCTAAGGTGTTAAGTGGGCGTATATAGGAGGATTGGGAGCTTCCAAAGGAAGGGTCCCAGGGGCTCGCTGGAACCATTTGAGTAAGGGGAGGAATTAGGGGCGAGAAAGTGGAGGGGTTGGTGCCTGGGAGTAAAGTTGGGGTAAAAGCGGGAGAGCAGAGGAAGGAGAGAGGACACCTAGGAATGAGGTGGAAAGCAGAGAATGCAAGTATGAAAAGGGTAGGTGGGAGAACTCGGGAGTCACCTAGTATTCAGGTTGAAAGTAATGAATGTTGGGGATTAGTGGCTCAATCATATAATATTTAGAAGTGTTCTGATTTATTTATTACAGGTACTTATATAGCGCCATCAATTCACACACTGCTTTACATAAGTATTGTAAATTCACATCAGTCCCTGACCCTCAAGAGGCTTACAATCTAAGGTCCCTAACCCTCAAGGGGAGTACAATCTAAGGTCCCTAACCCTCAAGGAGGGTACAATCTAAGGTCCCTAACCCTTGAGGGGCGTACAATCTAAGGTCCCTAACCCTCAAGGGGAGTACAATCTAAGGTCCCTAACCCTCAAGGAGGGTACAATCTAAGGTCCCTAACCCTTGAGGGGCGTACAATCTAAGGTCCCTAACCCTCGAGGGGAGTACAATCTAAGGTCCCTAACCCTCAAGGAGGGTACAATCTAAGGTCCCTAACCCTTGAGGGGCGTACAATCTAAGGTCCCTAACACTTGAGGGGCGTACAATCTAAGGTCCCTAATCCTCAAGGGACATACAATCTAATAATCCTCAAGAGGCTTACAATCTAAGGTCCCTAACCCTCAAGGGGCGTACAATCTAAGGTCCCTAACCCTTGACGGGCGTACAATCTAAGGTCCCTAACCCTTAAGGGGCGTACAATCTAAGGTCCTAACCCTCAAGGAGGGTACAATCTAAGGTCCCTAACCCTCAAGGGGCGTACAATCTAAGGTCCCTAACCCTCAAGGAGGGTACAATCTAAGGTCCCTAACCCTCAAGGAGGGTACAATCTAAGGTCCCTAACCCTCAAGGGGCGTACAATCTAAGGTCCCTAACACACATTCATACATACACATACTAGGGCCAATATAGACTTTAAATAGTGAATCAAACTCCGTAACCAATGGAGACCTCAAAGCTGATAAAAATTGACATATAATTGGCCAATAAGGGTTGCCATACTTATTGTGCTTTTTTCTGTTTTACTGGTGAAAAAACATGACAGTTTTCAGGCGTGTCAGACAAGCACACAAGTAGAGGTCCAAAAACACCGGCAATGTCACCGACTTGCATTCACAACACTCGGGGGGCCAGCTCATTAAAATTTAAAAAAAAAGTTGGTTACTTTTGATTTTGGAACTGCAGACATGGAAAATGTTAGAGTTCCTAAGAAAAGGGGAACTCCGGTGAAGTTAAGTGAATTTCTGAATGGATGTGATCTGCCTGCTGACACCTCTCGAAGGAGCCAATTCAATAACATTGGAATTAAGAAACATTCTATGGAAAAATAAAAGGAAGAATTATCATCGATTGCTGTTGGCAACGACTCCACTTTTTGTTTTTTAAATTTTCCCTGGTATTAATGAATTGGCCCAAGAGATTGCAGTTGTAACCCTGTAATAGCTACCCCCATCATCTTTTACAAAGGAGTCTCACACCCCCCTGTTGCAATCTTCACAATGTAAGATACATCAAACTTCCAACAGAAAAGAGGAACCCCTAGGGACCTTTGGTGCGAAGACTTCAGTGCAGGTTTTCCTGAGAGATCTAAGAACAGCGAGCGATTCATCTATCCTTCATTCAGCCAAAACTGAAATATTAGGACTGTCCAAGGACTGTAACATTCTTGCTTCCCCTGCTAGTAAGTAGCATTCACTCACCTGAGATCTTCATTGTTCTGCATGGTCTTCCTGTCTCCCGTCTGTCAACTGCTCTTGGAGTGTGACTGTGGACCAGATATATAAGGATGCCTGGTATTGCCTGAGGCTGCAGTTAATGATTTGCACGGGACAGTCAGTGGTTGGAGGGGGGGGGGGGGGGGGGGGGGGGAGTGGGCATTGTGGTGTCTTCTCCCATCAGTCCCAAAGGATGAGGCTGGGATTACTTCCTAGACTTGCAGTAACTGTTCCCTATACTACATACTGTACCTGTTGCCTGTTACAGGCTCCAAACCAAGCTGATGACCGGCATGTGATAGCAGTGCTGAGAGAAGATCCTTTAGCACCAGAGGCAAAAAAAAGTCGAATTGCGTCCCATTCCCCCCATGATCTCTGAACTATCTTAGCAGCATAGGTTGTAGGTCATGCCTATTTTTGTACCCCCCTTCCTTTTTTTTTTTTTTGAAGCACCCAAAGCAGGCTTCTCTTCTTTCTACCCCTCCGCCCGGCCCTGTCTGATGGCCTTGCAGTGAGGATTTGTTGCCTTGTATCCTAAGGCTGCATGTACACGGGACACTTCTGAACGACGGAGACTGACTGCTGGAAACGTAGGTTAAAAAACATCTGTTTAGCCACGTTTACATACCGCGTTTGCGTTTAGAAGCATTTTTTAAAGATAACCGCAGGAGACCTTCCAAAATGCACTGAAAAACAGTAAAAAAATAACTATTTCTGACATTTTGAGAGAAATAGAGAGAGCAGAAGCAGAGAGCAGTATGTATTGAGATTAGCTGTCTTTTCTTTTTTTGTGGTGTTTGGATGTTTTCCGGCTCATTTCTGTGCAGAAATTATTGCAGCGGTGTCTAACATATTTTTTCACGCGAAACCTCAAAGTACGGTGTAACGGGTCCATTTGAGTACCAGGAAAACACTTTGCATGCATTTTATATGATGAAAAAAGGCTCTGGATAGCATCTGGAAATGGAAGAGTTAAAAATTAACTATTTCAGACATTTTGAGAGATCTAGAGAGAGCAGTATGTGTTGAGATGACCTGTCTTTTCTGGTTGTAGTCACTATGGATCCCATCATGAGCATAATGCGGCGCATTCTACCATTTTTTTTTTCCTTCACACAAAACCTGCAACTGACTGCGCTGGTGTACCGGGTCCATTTAAATACATGGAAAATGCTTTGCATGCATTTCTGATGATGACAAAAGGCTCCGGACAGCATCTGGATATGGAACCGTTAAAAAACGTTTCTAAACGCAAACGCTTATAAATGCGTTTAGTTGCGTTTACAAGCATTTGGCGTTTAAAACGCTGATAAAATCTACTCCTGAATGCAAGTTTGGTTTGTTCTAAAAATCGACTAAACACAACAAACAACGGCCCGTAAACTACGATGTGTACATGGACATATAGGAAAACATTAGGGAGAGTTCAGGGGCTGCTGAAAAAAACGTAGAAAAGCTGCTAAACGTGAGTTTATCAGCTGCAGTGTACATGGAGTATAATACCCAAGTTATTAAAGTAAGAATAAACCTTCCCTTAAAAGAGACAGTTTCGCTGCTCCTCCGCATCCCTGCTTTCTGTATCAAATTTGGTGGTTTTTTTTTTTTTTTTTTCTAGAACCAGTTACCTTTTTCTAAAAGTTACCTTCTCCAACTTCCGCAATTCTGGCCTACGCGAGAATTACACCCCCATCTGCCTCCAACCCCCGGGACACCTCACACGTCCCATGTCCCAGAAGGCTGCGGTACCAGTCACTGCGTGATCTTGCATATGTGCAGTCCGGGGCTAGCAGTGATCCATCAGCAAGTCACAGCCTTGCCCCCACATCCAAGATGGCAGTTCCGGTGATTGGAAGCTCAGCAAAAAGACTGGCTCCTGTGAAGCTGGCTGTGCCGATCACGGGGCGAACAGTCATTGTCAGCCTGTCATTACTGAGCGGCTGCAGCTCTCCACACACAGCTGTCATTTCAACTGCAGTAATTTGCAAATTCTCGCAGCTCAAATTCTCAGTGTGTGCTAATCGCCTGTGTCAATGCACGCTAACTGGACGACATTTAGTTTGCTCAAGCACTGTGTATCATAAACATATGCACCTTTTTAAACAATAAAGGAGAATGTCACCAGCACACAGAAGATCACCAGTATGGGTCCAAAAGTTTTAATGAACGATTACATAGTTACAGCAAGGCAACGTTTCGGAGTCTCGCAGGACCCCTTCATCGTCACATGCCTGATGAAGGGGTCCTGCGAGAGCGAACGTTGCCTATGGTCACATGCCTGATGAAGGGGTCCTGCGAGAGCGAAACATTGCCTATGGTCACATGCC